GGGTCGGCCCTCAGCCCATTTCTATTTGCCCTGGCGACCGACACATAGACGCGCCACATTCCAGGGGAGGTGTCATGGTGCATGTTATTTGCAGATGATATTGTACTGATTAATAAGACATAATGCGGTGTTAACGAGAGGTTAGAGGATTCGACGCAGACCCTAGAGTCTAAAGGTTTCAAGTTGAGCAGGACCAAGACAGAAAATTTGGAGTGCAGGTTCAGTGGTGCGACCCGGGTAGTGGACGAAGACGTGAGCCTTGATTCACAAGTTAACCCTAGGAGAGAAAGTTTCAAGTACCTTGGGTCAGTTATACAAAGGAATAGGGAGATCGACAAGGATGTCACACATCGTATCTGGGGTGGGGTGGATGAAATAGAGGCTGGCTTCCGGTGTTTTGTGTGATAAGAATGTGCCACCAAAATTTAAAAGTAAGTTCTATAGTGCGGTGGTCAGACCGACTATGTTGTATGGGACGAAGTTGACCAGTCAAGAACTCCCATGTCCCGAAGATGAAGGTGGCTGAAATGAGGATGTTGAGATGGATGTGTGGGCATACCAGGTTAGAATTAGAAATGAAGTTATTCAGGACAAGGGGGAGGACAAGATGCGGGAGGCGAGACTTGGATGGTGCGGGCATGTGAAGAGGAGAGGCACAAAAGCGCTGGTGAGGAGGTGTAAGAGGTAGGCCTTGAAGGGCCTAAGGAGAGGTAGAGGCAGGCCGGAGAAGTATTGGGGAGAAGTGATTAGGCAAGACATAACATTGCTCCAGCTTACTGAGGACATGACCATGGATAGGAAGGTATGTAGGTTGAGAATAAAGGTAAAGGATTAGGTAACCGAGCCTTGTCCTTATTTGTAACAGTAGCTTTAGTACATTACTTCGTGTCATTTGTGTATTTTCGTACTCCTTAACTTCTGTTATTACTTGTTGTTTGCTATTGTTTCGGTTTTCTGATTGCATTATCTACTGTTAGTTTTGTATTTTCGCTTCGATTTTCTGATTGGTTTGCTTGTTGTTGCCTTTCCTTTTATCTTTTCCTACGTTGAGGGTCTACCGAAAACAACCACTATGCCTTCTTAAATGTAGAGGTAAGGTATGCGTAGACACTAGCCTCCCCCAGACCCTACTTGTAGGATTATATTGGGTTTGTTGTTGTGTTAGCCTACTTTAAAGAAGCACTTGGACTATACAAGGAGCAAGGTAACAGAAGAGAAACTTACGAGGAACCAAATACAAAAATTTTGAGTTAGAAAAAGGGATTAGTTCATCAAGCAAGTCAAAGTTGGGTTGAGATCATTAGTTTCTCCAACATTCAAGTTATCAAAAGGTGAAAAGTGAAGATAGAGATGAGAAGAATTGGAGCATTATGCATAAGCATGGGAGATACTTATCAAAAGAAAAAATGATGTACTGTCGAGCTACAAGAGATAGAGTTGTGTAGGATACCATTCTCTCTAAATTTCATCAAAAAGTGGTCAACACCTCTTTAAAGTCGGGAGTGATCAAATAAAGGTAGATAATACCAACCTGAAATCAGAAAACTTCCAGATAATTGTAATTCCTTCTATCACCTTATGCATTGAAAAAATTAAGTATCACAGAGAACTTGCACAATCACATCTTTCTTTTTTATTAAAAAGAAGAAGAAAGAAAACTAGCACAATCACTTTCAACCAAAGAAATACTTCTAGCAACCAAATTACAGAAACACAATCACCTGTTCCAATTCAGATGAACTCCTACATCCCATACATGGAGATGATCTTTCAATTTCACCGCCCCAATACGAGAAAGATCACAGATGCTGCTCAATCTCTCCATGCCACACTCTCCCTAAGGGAAGTACCAATAGGGATTTTGAACAAGAACTACACGTAAAGGATCGTGGCAGCGAGACAAATTTACATGAGGATAACTCAGAGATCATGGACCTAATAAAATTATCCAACCCCTCAGAGATACTTTTTACTAGGAGATCTGAGAACATTATTGATCTAGGATTATTACCTCAAGACACTCCTAGATTATTGAAAGGCCAAAGTAAACAAGGTCAAAGAGTTTTGAATATATAGAATAAACAATAAATAAATAGATGAAAGATGTAATTACAAACTAGTAATGAAGGTCGACTAACGTGACATTTAAAATCATAATAGTATGTCATGGGAAGAAAATGGTTGTCAGGCTTCTCAATGTTTTTGCACATCTTTTCATGATGCAAAAGGAATCACATGGGAGAGTCAAGACAAGTTGGGGATGGTAAGATGTCCAAGAGCTGTATTAAATTGATGTTCAATTTCATGGACCACTTCAAAACCAAATATTTGAATTATTTTTCACGCATAAGTAACTCCTACTATTGTATGAAGTCTTTGTCTAAAGTCTATATTCCGATAGGTCCATGCATTTTTGTCTAACAAAATATACATATTCTCGTGAGCATGGATATAAAACTTAGTCCTACAGACATCATAAATTAACAATCAAAATTCACAAGAACAAAGAGAAAATACAATCATTTGACTATTTTTTATGTTATTATCACCATTATCATCCAAATGCTCATTTGTCCTTCCTCGTTATCTCCCAAATGCATTGATCAAGACCAATTTCAAGCCTAAAGAGTAGTAGCACCTAGAAAGTGTTATTTTGTTGATGCAAATCAGTTAATTTTCTGATGTCTTCGCTTTGATCTTTGTCATCAACCTCAGAGGCTGTTGGCACAACAAATTTTGGATCTTTCTTTTATGGGAAGGAAAAGAAAGAAAGGGAAAATAATAGATAGAAATAGAAATATAGAAGTCAAAATCAAGAACATTTCTTCTATTCTTTCTGGCGCAACAGGAAACTGGCTTCCCTATTTCATACTTCTTGTCACGTTTTTCATACAAGCCAAACAAATAATTGAACACTTAGAAACTTACCTTCCTTTCTCTCCCATTTCCTTGTTTCCAAACATAACATTACCAATCAATCAATCAACAAATCCTCAATCTCAAATCAATTTTTGTCCGCTATTCAGGTCCATTTATAGTTTATACTCCACCACATCCAGTTGTGATGTGATAGAAGAACCTTTTACCCATCTAACACTATACCTGGGTGTTGTGTAGGGAATGCCTAGAAGAGCACGTCCCCAAAAATGTGTTAAAAAGAGGGTTCTTCATAATTAGGCTAATTTTATACTAGTTTTCAACCTACTGCAACCCTCCTTTATCTGAACTTGGGACCGCCTAAGCACTATGAACATAGATGGAACTTTAAATGTAACATTATACTCAATAAAAAAAGAAAGTACGTGAGCACAAATTCTGGAACTTCTGTATTCTAAAGTCACCTTTCTCAATTTCCAGCTTCTTGATACAGCAACTGATTCACTAACACTGTTCATTTGGTAAGAACTGTGCAGCACTAAGATGAGAGGACTAGAAACCGGGATAAACCAAAATTAGGTATTATACCTAGAAGCACTCACGAATCAGGAAATGACATTCTTTTCTATCTCTAGTGATAAGTAATAAAGGAATAACATCCTAAGATGAGGTCACTTCCTATGAAGCATCCTATTAAAAAAAGAAGGAAAGCACAATACGCAAGTTCACATTCATTTATCCATGACCTTTCACTTACAAATATAGCCACAACATATCTTACATATGAAAAAAAGACACCGGGACAACTTACCACGGGAGAGGACAAAAAGAAAAAACAAAAAGACCAGTGCTTGGAGACCAATACGAAAACAGAACACTAAAAGTTTGGAGCACAAGCATCGATAACTTTACAACTTAACTTACAAATTAATATATTGTCTTTTTACCAAGAGAAAAGAACAACAAAAGTTGAGCAATTTGGTCCACTTCAATTGTGGTTTTGGTTAAAGAGTGAAAAATAAACAAAGACATACGGATCTCATCTTGATATTGCAGCTCGCATAACTGCCAATAGCTGGGTGCTCGGACCATACAAAATGACTAATAAATAACTGCAGCAACCATTTTTAAAAAGTTAAATGACTGCAGAAACTTATTCGGATAAAGTTAGCACTTCCCTTTTTAAGGTTTGAATTCAAATAAATAGGATCCCTATTAAAGAGATATCAAAGTTTGCCAATACCGAATGTACTCGTCCCAAGAATATGTCCAGTCAAACAAGTCTAACCTTTTTTCGCCCCGAATATCAAGTCTTCTGGGACCCACTCCAATTATGCTTTAGCAAACTACCTTCAAAAGTAGGTCTAAATGATTTTTCGCCTCATCAATCATTTTCCAAAGAAAACACCTCAGAGACTATTCCAAATAAATAGCAAATAAATTGTATAGATCTCCAGTTTGATTGATGAGCATTGGCCTTGTCATTCTTATCCGAATCTTCAACCAACATGACATTTCCTAGTTCAGCAAAAAGTCTCATTTTTTCTCATTTATACTTTTGGCAAAGAAGGAAGATACCCTCTTGTATAGAGAGTTGGACAGGCTTGTTAGATGAATGAGGTTAAGCCTTGCACTCTACTGTAAATATTTTTCACACCATATTGATAATATTATCAATGAAATCAATGAGGATTATGAAAATATACTATCGAAGTCTCATGCACCTTGTCCCACTCGCTCAGTTATATAGTGACATCTCATGGGCACAAAACGGAATGCAGTACTTTTACTGTCTCAGACTTCTACATGTACCTGAGACTTCTATATGCCCAATGTAGCATAGATCAAATATTACCAGATCTTGCAATATTACGAAAAAGACACGATAATAGAAAGTCCACAATTAGCTAGGCTACAGAATGAACAACAAGAAGGATATCCGATGAAAAGATTCAACAATGCAGCTTCAGAAACAAAGATAGCCCAATATCGATCAATTTACTCTGAAACTGAAGGCATATTGATCGATAGCCCAATATCGATCAATTTACTCTGAAACTGAAGGCATATTGATCGATAGCCCAATATCGATCAATTTACTCTGAAACTGAAGGCATAATCACCTCGTTGTGCTGTTGCATTGTCACCGACATTGACACCTCTCAAAGTTGCTAGTATTTCATCAGCTATCTTCTGTTTAATTTGCTGTGGTACTTGCACCACCTTTTCATCAATGAAAAATTCTTCCTTTAATCCCTTTATCTTCACCGGAAAAACAAACATCCCTCATCAAGCCCATAGCCTTAAAGCTCAGGAAAAAAAACAACTAAATATCCGACAATCAGAAAAGGGTCTTACTAGTTTAATAAGCTGCACAGGTTCTAGTTGTTTTCTTATTCGATTCGATTCGTCCATTTTCCTAACCTGATCTGGGGTATACCTAAAAGCTGTATACACATAATAGCATTTATTTTCAAAGAAAAGAAACAGAATCCCCAAATGGGTAAAAAATCAAGAAAAGGGAAAAAGCAATAGAAAAGGCATAAATAAGGACTTACCCCTTTGGGTATCATTGCGAGTAGTGTACATGGATACTGAAGTGTAAGAGTGAAGCACATAGAGAGCAACAAAAATGTTAATTGAACAAACAACAATCGTGGTTCGTTTGTACGAACACCATTTGGCTTCTGCTCTTGCCATCTCCCCCTTCTTCTCTTCTCTGCATCAACTTCTGCTTACCCTCCATCCAATCATCTCCCACCACTATCTTTTAATTCATAAATGTTTAGACTATTTCTCAAAGATTTATGATTAGCTGTCAATAGATCGATAGTATCAATATAAGCCCTTGTCTTCTTTTCCTGGGTTTGGCTTTTGATTTGATTAAACAACAATATATGTAAGTTGTATACTGCAGTATATTTAATAATGGGATTCTTCTCCCCGTGTTGTGGTTTGTGAGGTAATTTTGGTTCTATTTTTCGATAATTAGGTGATAATTTTGATTTACGTGATGTACCGTGTAAAGGTATAGGGGAAGTGGGAGGTTGGATGCGTCGTGCTCTCCTTCTTTCTTTTTTCCCGTCCAAACGCCGCGTACTAACCTGATAAAATAGTTAGAAGGCTGCAAATACCTCACGTGTTGGATCTCTATGGAGAAATTCAAAAATAGTTAGAAGGCTGCAAAAACCTCACGTGTTGGATCTCTACTGAGAAATTCAAAAATAGTTAAATTTACAATCGGTCATTAAAAATAGCCGCAATTTTAAAAGTAATTAAAATTTAGTCACTTTTTACGTAAAAATAAATTTTAATAAAAATGCTGTTCAAAATTCGAAAAAATACTTCAGTATATTATGTTGGAGTTTCAGTATAATATATCGGTCAAGCATAATATACTGGAGATTGGAGCACTCCAGTATATTATGTTGCAACTCTCTGCATGTTGGAGTTACAGCATAATATACTGGAAGTTCATACACAGGTGCACCGATCTCCAGTATATTATGCTGGAACTTTTCGTGTTGCAGCAAAATAGCGGCTATTTTTTAATGACTTTGCAAACGTTGGCTATTTTTGAATGATCAGTCCGAAAACTGACTAGCCCGTGCTATTTTTACCTCTTAAATGGGGCGCGTGTGCAACTAGAATGGTCACGTGAAAAAAGATGGATTTTCACAAATTGCTTGAATTTGAAGAAATCAGATTTCTATGAATTTTTTTAAGTAAAGATGAAATTCCAGGATGATAAAGAGGTAAAATTCTTACAATTCTTGTAATATCTGGATTGAGCACTCTGACTGTCGTAACTCTCTCCCGAATAATTACCATAATTTACCAGATATATTCTCCCGAATTACGCCAACTAGCATTAGGTATGGCTCACTCGGATCGCACCAAGGTTTCGTTATCCCTAATCTCACCTTTAAACCCTCCATATTGATCTCTCATATACACTAGGAGTGATGTTGTTCCACAACTACCTAAATATGCACTCTTTCTCCCGAGTAATACATACTAACTAGGCACAGTCGATTGAGAGCTCTTCAATCAACCACAATATAAACGTAGTTGAACAAATAGAGAAAAAGCTACAGCAAATCTATATTAATGTAACAGGAAAATCATCCTCCAATAGGTTCCATCAAAACCCTAGATAACAAATTAGCTATTCATAATAGTATGAATAATAACAATACTAGAATTCATAACCAATAATGAAAATAGGAAGAAGGAAGTGAAAAACTCGTAGAAGAATTCTCCGTCTTGCTCCTAGTGTGTGTCGCACCCCCTTTTTTCCCTCCGCGGAGAGGAAGTCCGGGTTCCAACGTTCATGGGGGAAATAACTCATTTCCTTTTGGGAATTGGGTATTTTAAAGAGTCGCCGCCTAACGGATTAAGGTGCGTTAGGGCACCTAGAGCGATTAACTCTTGGATTGGTTTGCATTACCAGAGATTTAGGGTAAGAGCTCGAAATAACCTTGAGGGGAAGGTGATAGGCACCCCTCGCGGTCCACAACAGTGGGTCCTGGCCGAACTTATACTTGTGAATTAGTCCTTTAACAAATAAGTAGTTGAAACAAATAAAGCATGTTGGACATTGTATAACTCAGATAATAAGACAAGGGATCTGAACAAGTTTTATAAAAGAAAGTTTTAAAAAAATGAGTTTGGAAAGGAGGGGTCCTAGGTTGGTTAGCCTATAGGATCACCCTACGCAATGCCCGGTAAACACTCATCAAAGAGGGGCTACACGTGACATTAGCGCGTAGTCATCATATCCCATATCTACCTTTCCCACCCCTTAGTGGTTATTAAAGCAAGTGTTGGTTAGCGATCTCTATTGTTGTTGTTACATGTCCCTTCTTAATGGTCCTGGAGGATTTGAAGACCTCTACATATAGGGAGTTCTAGACAAAGCCCTAAGGTTTAAAGGAGAAAATACTAAGGCAACAAGCAAGAACACATAGGACTTCAACAAATAAAAGCATGAAATAGCAGATAAGAGGCTCAGGTTCACCTCCACAGATAATGCATGTAAGCAGCACGACTCAAACACAAATAAGGGCAATATTGTTAAACAGTATCCTAAGATATGATGTCTAGGCGAATATCAGAACACATGAGATATGTAGTTTTATTTTATAAACTCAAAAGCAGGGCCCTAATCAGTTTGCCTACTGATTTTAAAGCATGTTAATCATTACGCAGTAAACACAAAGAGGCAGTTTCCAGTTTTTTGTAAAAGTTGATTACCTAAGGCTTGCTTGGGCGTGGGATAGTGCACAATTATCAGAATTATTAAAACAGTTTAGGAGCATGCTATTCTAAGTGTTGCAAAGATACAGGAATTATGACCAGTTTTACTTGAACAGGACAAATATGACATTGTTTTTACATCTTTCATAACCAGTAGTTTAAACTAGGTGTGACTGAGTGAGTATGAACGAGATCCTAAATAAGGTATCTAACATGCACATATAAAATGCAGAATGATTTCAGGATACGCAGAACTCCTAAAGTATGACATCTCAATGCCCAGAAAAGCTACAACATGATTTTGGGATGTGCAGGAGCAACAGTTTTATGTTAACGTTGTTATTTAGCCTAAAGTAGGATCTCTAAGTGATAAAAATAATGTCAAATGAGATGCTGAAACAGTAAACCAAAGAACATGATATCTATTGCATGACATGTTTGGAATGTATTGGTCCTAAACATGGATTCTAATGCACATACGGGAAAAGTAACCCTAAGGCACGGTTTCTACCCATTGATATTGATAACATATATGACTACCCTTCCTTTTTTACTACCAACCCCAATATCTGTTTACAATAAATTATTACAGACCAATATTGCATGAATTACATAAGTAGATAAGAAAAAAATAATAAGTTACACTATAGGGAGCTTGAATAGGCCTGGATGATTTTCTCAAGCCTCCAATAGCCTCAAATGCCAAATTCCATAGATAGTATCATTGTCTAGGTGCGTCAGAGTTCCCTAAGGATCTCAAGGATCCCGGGCAATGCTCACACCTAGACTTTATAACCAGAATTGAGTAAGTGCAGTGTGGAAGAGCTCACTCTAGTGCATCAGAGTTCAGAGGGATCTCATAGGGATCCCAAGGTAGTCACACACTGGAGGGGCAGAACTTAAGGATCTAAGAGTGGAGTGAGAATGCTTGACATAGTTTTGAAGAGGTTTTAGCAGGAAAGTAGTGTAAAAAGAGACTTAGTTGAAATAATTTTGTAATCAAAAGAGTTGTTTAGTAAAACAACTTTTGAAAACAATTGTGTAATTAAACAAACAGCAGGTTAGTCAAACAAGTTCAGCAACACTCAAATAACAGTCCTTTATATAGGCGAATAGGAATTGGGGACACATAGAGCACATAGTATACAGGAGCATAGCAGTTCTTGTGGGGGTTTAAGGGATTAGGGAATAGCTATTGGTACCAACACAGTAGGAATTTCAGAAACTATCATAGAATCAGTCATTTAAAGTGATAGATCAGTTTGCATATCAAGATTGGATAACAAGTAGACAAACATTCAAAACAGGGTAGAGTCATGTTGAGACAGACTACTAGGGGGTAGAACATGTTCTGAAAGGCCCTAAGAGGGTTAGACTAGCATACTAGATGAAACAATAATATAAATATTTCAATTACATGTTGAACAACATAACCATAGATAGAAACGAATTAGAATCATGATAACCTGAAGCAGTAAAAGAAACATATTGGTTTTGGGACTTGAATTGAAATCAGAACATACCAGTAGAGAGATAGTAAACACAAAGTGAGGAATAGGAGAGCACAATAGTTAGCATTGGCTTGCAGCCGGCTAACTCAGAATAATAGCAAGTAACCAAAGAGAGAGAGAGAGCAGAAAAATTTTGAGTGTGAGAGAGTTTTGAACTAATGTGTTCATCTGTGTAATGAAAAGAGAAAAAAGTATATATAATAGTTTGAAAGCTAGGTAAATAAGGCAAGAATCAATTGTTCAGCAATTATAGAACTACAGAATAAATTAAGAACGAAAATCAGCCAAGTACTCCTTTAATTAAGGGAATCAGTTCAAACGGTAAGAACAAGTAACAAATAAGGAAAGAAATCAATGTGTAACTGGAGCATAACAGACAAAATAATTCAAACATAGTAGGCATAGAGTAAACAATTAGGGCTAGGTTCAGAAAATTTCTAATTAAGGAGATAGTCGGTAAGAATCAAGTAACCATGCAGACAAAGTAAGGGAAAGTTAGTTTAGGCAAGCAAATCAATCACATTGAGTAGGAAGGTAAAAATCAAAGGTTTAAAGGAAAGTTTTCAAATCAAACCAAGAAATAGAGAATTCAGAATCAATCAAAGAGATAGTCATGAAAAGAGTTAGCGTTTAGCATATAAATAAAGTAAGACATGTATAGTCAAGAGTCGACATACAACTCTAGCAAACATAAAAGTTAAACAATACTGATTCAACGAGAAAGTGGCAAGTCTTGAGCAGTCAAGATGAACACAAACACATAGAGTCAGTGTAAGTTCAGGCTAAGAAACTTAGTAGAAACATATCGAGGTAAGATAGTCACGAGAAATCACAAAAACTCAAAACGAGAACTGGTCAGTCATGCTAATACACAGAACCAAACAAAAGAACCCTAGAAATTAGGGTTTTTCAGCATAGATGAGTTAAGATGTAGTAAACTCATAGAATCAGTCAAAATATGTAAGAAATAGAAGTTTAAACACAAAGAATCAGTTAGACAAAGTTTTTAAAAGAAGTTTTGAAAACCCTAGTTTTAGAAGAAGATGAAAAACACTTGAAATCACATGATTTTTGTAAAGAATCAAAATCAAATCGTCCTAGATCTAGGAGGTGTTGAAAAGAAATTAAGGTTTCGAAAGAAACCCATATAGAGCTGAAGAAACCTGTCTAGAATCCGAAGGATCGTGGCAAACATAGAATGATTCTGCTTGAAATCACACTAGAATAGCTAGGAACAAGCAGGAGATGAACCCTAGATGCAAGTCGGCGTGGCCCTGGGTCCTTGAGGACCTTAGAGAAGGCAAGAATG